GCCGTTTTTGTCCTTTAGCATGGCCTTTAGTCCTCCATGCTCTAGACTATCCCTACGAACAGTGTGTAATAATCCTGCGATTATTGGCGGAAATTCAAATGCATCGGTAGATTTTTATAACCTATTATAAAGTGTAACACATCGAAGTCACATATCGGAATCTTTAATAATGGGATTTTTTATTTATTTTTATTTTTATTGTCTAATTTATTTTTATCACAAAACATTTCCGTGTAAATTTCAAGGGAGTCCAAAAATTAAAAACCAGTAAAAACACATTTCCATATACTTTTGACTCAAAATCATCTAATTTAAACGATTGGTACATAATTTCGTTAACTTCCATCTGAAAACCTATTAAAATAAACAAAAGATCGATTTTTTTGGTATTTTCGGTATTTTTCGGTATTTATTGGTATTTTTGGTATTTTTTCGGTATTTTTCGGTATTTGTATAGTCTTGTTTCCCTTTACTATTTTCTCCTATAAGAAAGATGATTCTTGATAAAAGTTGTTCCTCAACGTCTCTCTTAAAATCAACTAATATGTTCGTTAAGAAAATATGAAATTATTTATGGAATAATGTGAGGTGATGAAGTAATCAAAACACATGGAAAAATCGTACATTCGCTACCGGCACTTAATATTATTTATTGTATAAATACTGGATAGAAACCTACATAAATCATCTTTTATAATAAATTTATCGCTTTAGAATATTCTGTTCCATTTCAAAGATTTTCCATTCTACTATATGAAGCCAGAGTCCACTTCGCGACCACATGGCTGAAAACTAACATTATGAGAACTAAAACTCGATTAAACCCATCTTTTATACCAAAATGCTATCAAATCAAATAAAAAAAACCCAACGAACACTTGTATTTTCTATCTTTTAGGGACATCAAAAGCGAACTACAACCCAGGGACTTCTTGACATATTTAAACGTTTCATCATCTAGTGCAAAATTCACTTAAAAAATCTCCTAAAAGTGTGGGTCAGAAGAAAGCTTTTTGAAAGCAGACAACGCCGATCAGAATACAGTGCCGTCCACTTGAAAGAGGCCAACAAACCCACAGTAATCACAACTCTACCGGACCACGGCCTAGATGTTCAGGAACAGAGACCGACACAGGCCAGTCCGCTAGAAGGAGGCCCCTTGATAAAAAGAACCCATAGAGTAATGAGCAGTTCGATTGATCCTGGGAACCAGTGCCGCTCCGTAATCCCTCCTTTTTTGGGCAGTTCTTAAAACAGTTTGAACACAAATATGTATAAAAAATCTAAGAATAATTTAGGTCTTTACGAAACGATAAATATACTCCAATATTATAGAGTTCTCCCATTGGAATTGCCTTAAAGAAAATCTCGTTAAGCTTATTCAGGATTGTGTATCAAAATTGTGGAACTGGGGGATGTTTGAAAGTTATGAAATGGCAGAAAAGAACTCAATCTCGAAAGAGACATGTTGAGGGGATGCCAGAAACCACCCCTTCGTGACCAGTGGCGGCCCCTCCCCAACTGCAAGACAGCTTTGATCAGCTTAGCGACAAAGTGCCCGAAAAAGTCAATCACGACTGCGACACGCTCATGCGTGCGCCCCCCATAACCCATAAGTTTTAACGCATTTTCAAGGAGGCAGATTGCGTATACGCAGCGTGAGCCGACAAGGCGACAAGAGAGCACAAACAACGCTTTTGAACGCCATAATCAAATTAAAGCATAATTTTTTACGACGTCATAGCCATAAATATGAACGATGAGAAATTGTGGCCCCAAACATGAATCGTAAAAAGCGACTGGGGGGACAGGGGGGGGACGAGGATGAGATGCAAGTCCGGAACCGGCAATGGGGTCCTTGCAAGTGATTTCCCATATCCGCTAAGCGGCTGCCTTGGCACGCAGAATAAAATTAAATGTATAAATCATCTTTTCGGATGCCTTAAAATTGAATACGCATTCGTCAGCAATAAATCGCCTTGGCCCCCAGGCAGCGCCGGCTCCTGCAGCCACGGCTCCTCCTGTCTCGGACCCGGACCCGGTCACATATGCGTTTCTGCCATTGGGGAAATTGCCACAATTCGTTTCATATTTCATGCGGTTTCGGGGTTTTTCTGTTTCTCTTTTTCGCATGAGTTATTTTTGGCAAGCGCCAATACGCCGAATCCCTCAAAGATCAACGACACCGACACCGGAATTGTTTGCGGAGCTGATTTGCATTTAGAATGCAATGCAATAGAAAAGTGCTCTCCTTATTTATGGTTTGCGGTGGCTTGCTTCTAGGTGGATGGGTATAGCTTTTCCCCAAAAACTTGCATACTTTTCAGCTTTCATCGGGCAAAAAACGATCATAAAAATAATTGTGAAATTTCTATGAGTCAAGAATTGTGTTCAGAATTGTGAAATATGTTCTTCCCCCAAGCCCCAGACTACCCATAAAAAAGAAGACATAAACTTTAAAGCTGTAAATATTTCGAAAATGTAGGCCTTGATTGGGCACTTGAATGACTCAGTTCTGGCCCATAGTGCCAGACATTCCTGTCACTGGGTTTTTTGCACGATCATAGATCGTTCAATGCCAATTAAAGCCTGTATGATATATGCCTGCGGGAAGGCCTATCGAGTACTGGCCATTGCCCACCAATAAACGTGCGGAGTGTCCAACGAAATGTCGCATTAGACTGGGAGCAGGAGAGACATTTCTCACCGATTATGCGATTATTATACGTCTTTTTTAATCCAGTAAGGAGCCCGACAACACCACTCTGTATCATCTGTTAGAGGAAAAGTAGGAGGAGGAATGTAGGGACTAAGAGGAGCACCAGCTGGGACTACAACCTGGAAGGGCGGTAGATGGCATTGAAAAGCCCCCACGATAAGAGATTTTTGCACAAGTACTACATATTATTTAAAAATTGATTGATTAGGATATATTATTATAGCCCTTCCCCACCTTATTCAGTATTCCTTCTGTAGTTCCATCATTTTGTTAAATTCCCATGCAAATTTTGTAGCTTTAAATCGGACAATTCCAAGAAAACGATGCAACGATACAAAGTGCCGGATCTGTTTGACATCGATAAAGAGGTATTTGCTCGCCTGCAAGTAAATAATAAACAACGATGGTTCTTCTGGCTTAGTCGCACTCTTAACCTTATCAAAAAAACACGAGTTGTGCTTCGAATTATATATCAAAATATATATTATACCAGATAACGTTTCTACGGTTTGTATTATTGATTGAGAAGCGGAGACAGGGAGTGGTTTGCTATTATTATTTTGGAAGGTGTTATTTCCTAGGGAAATTTTTACTATTCTTTAAAATTTTTTACTATTTTTCACTATTTTTTCATATTTTCTCTATATTTTTTTTTACTATTTTTTACTATTTTTTTGTACTATTTTGGAGTATAATTTTTTTTACTGTTTTTCACTATTTTTCCCCATTTTAATACTTTTTGTACTGTTTTTTTTTTAACCATTTGTACTATTTTATTAATCTATTTATAATATTTCTGTAATCATTTTTTACTATTTTTTAACATTTTTTCTTTACTATTTTTTAACCCTATTTTACTATTTTTTTTGTTCTATTTTGTACTATTTTTTTAATCTATGTATAACATTTTTTTAACCCTTTTTACTATTTGTTTGACCATTTCTTATATTTTGTAAAATGTTTTTCACTCTTTTTTTCCTTTTTTAATATTTTTTTATTTTTTATTTGTAGTATTTTGAAATCTATTTATAATATTTTTTTAATATGTTTTTAACCCTTTTTTAAAATATTTTTTAACTATTTGTTTTTACTATATCCAGTAATAGTCTGCCTACTTAATCCCCTCCTTAATCTCTCCCTCCGCCTAATCTTACTCGTGCCAAACCAATTCCAAGTATCTTCAATGGGGACGCAATCCGGTAGATACTCCTCTTCCTGTTGCTTTCCAAATCGGAATCTAAAATCTTCAACGCTCTTTCGGCACATCTCTCCCCCAAGGGATCAAAGTTATGGGCAAACTTTGTATTTATTTGGATTATGGGCTACAAATGTTCCGCGTGCAAAATTCTTGTTGACTTTTCAAAAGGTTCGTGCCCCTTTCCTCCCGTTGCAACGTCGTTGAATTGTAATTGCCGCTCATTGGAGCCATAAAACCACATTAACCACTTTTAATCATAAAATGATACCAAAACCTGGAACCTAGAACGATTGCGGATTGCGGCCATTAGATCACTTTCTTTTTCGGGGGCGATCAGTTAAACTTTGATTAGAAAAACGCTGTTCATTGGGGTAATAAAAACGGAGGGATTATAAATAGCCCTAGACCAGAGCTATATTGGGGGGTTTCGCTTTCGAATTTTTGGGGCCCCATCTGCATGGCATCACATCGATCACCAGCCACTTTCCAGGCCTCCTTCGGGCCCTCTCTTGGCCCTCTGTGCCTCTCTCCGGTCTATGCTAATTTTGGCAAACATGGTCGGGCCCTGTGTCTGGGTGATGGAAGCCTTTTCTTAATTTCGAATGAAACAATGCGCACAGGAAGACATTGCCAAATGTTCGAGCAGGGGTTTGGCAGGAGGAGGGGGGAAACATGTCGTCGGCACGAGAATCGAATTTATGGTCGAACAAGCGCTGTCAAAATGTGAGAATTGAGTGCCTGCTCCTGGCTCCTGGCTCCTGGGTGCTGGCTCCTGGCTGGGTCCTAGGCCTCTGCCGTACCGAACCGCTAGCCAAACATGGAGGAAGCTCCAGATGCCTCGCATATAAATCGCATTAGTGGCACGCCAGGGCCCTGCGGTTTCCAAACGGAAACTTTGGGTTCCACTGAGGGTGCATTCCACTGATAGTTTGGGATTTCGCACACCTGCGATAAGAAACGAGAAATAATCAGCCACTGGCCGGCGGGCCGGCGGGGTTATGGCATAAAGAGTTATAGCTTTAATTAAGATTTCTATAAATACAATGGCACAATGACAATGACAGCGTGGATCATAAAACCAATCCAATCGCCTCAGCCGGTGAATTACATATCACAATGTACTTCGTACAGAGTCCTCCCCCCGTTCGGGATCACAGCAGAATGGGGCACTTGTACATGATGTTGATCTTGTCAATATCCTTGGGGCTCAGGCCCAGGCGCTGGCCTATCACGGCGCCGGGGTCCAGCGGAACGATGGTGTCCTCGCCGTTGATGGAGAAGGCGCCGGGCCGGTAGTGCAGGCAGCTGTCGTAGTCGTAGCCCACGTCGAAGTCAGTAACCAGCGACTCGGAGTACTTCTGGAAGTTGAACTCCTTGCCGGGCACGATGTTGTCGTAGACCACGTCCACGTAGTCGTCGCGCAGCGCCGAGCTCTGCTCGTGGTAGAAGCCCAGGGCGTGCATGAACTCGTGCAGGATAGTGCCGGGCCGGAAGCAGCCCTGCCCGATCGGGTAGATCTCCAGGTTCATTTCCTGCGGTTCTGCGCGATAGCCCACATCCGTGTAGCAGCCTCCCACATTGGCGGTTATCGTGAGGTAGGCCGTGTCCTGGTCGGTGGCCTCCCTGAACTTCACGCAGGAGTTCTCCTCCAGGGTCTCGATGCCCTTCAGTATCGCCTCCCTGTGGGTGGCAACAAAGTCCTCTGATATTTTGTAGACCACCACATTGTTGGGCCACCTCCGGGCCGTATTCACGAGGCCATTGCGTGCCTTGGGACCATGCAGCAGGTCCGCTTGCTGCTCCTCCGTCAGCACCATATCTCCGCCGGCGAAACCACCTGCCTCCTCCGGATCGTACACTCCAGCCGGCAGGGGCAATGGCTTGCCCTGGCCAAGCCTCACGGACACAAGTAGCACTACGATTAGGCCAAGCCTCGACATCTTTCCAGCTATGTTTCTCAGCGTAAACTAACGGCCGGGCCGTGGAGCCGCAGCACATAAGTACGATCGCCACGACAAAGATTAGATACAAACTGGCAAAAAGTATTTCGCAAATTGATAATCACAACCAATGCCGGCCAATTAGATCAGGGTTTACGGCAGTTGTCATGCCCCGGGCAGGCGCCCAATAGGCACTCGGCATTAGTCATGTAAATACTGTGTCCGATACGCATCTCCTACGTAACAGGTTGCCCCATCGGCTGCGGCAATTCATTCAAGCTCCATGGAGTATAAATAAAGACCCCAAATCAAAGGCGAAACCACCAACTGATTGAAACTTCGAGTGGCTGACGGAATCTGACAAAAAATTAATTAAAACCGCCGCTTCCCTGATGAGTAATTTGCCTGAATGCTCGTACCGTCAGCTGTGTACATACCCGTAAAACATGTCCGATTACGTCCGTACAGCCAATACACGGGTAATCGTTCCGCCTAACACGAGTGATCGTCGTTGTCTTTTCGGTGTTTGGGCCTTATCGGGGCTCCCTTCCGTGGACTGCCATTCCGAGCCTCTCAGCATTATCAGGCAGTACTATCCGGCTCTCGTCAGCGACGTTTCCCCGAGCTATCTCGAATGCAGGCACTATCAGAAGCCATTCTAGTCTGTAAAAATAAAAGTCGATTGCGGGATCACCCTTGGCCACAATCCAACAATGGCCAGAACTGTTAGAAAGCTGAGCAAGTACTCGTTTAGGGGGGCTGTATACTTTTGGGCGGCGTTCTACTACTGATCGATTCAGGGATACACGGATACGGAAGAGCAGATACAAGCATATATTGTGGCTACCCATGGAAAGATGTCTCAATTGGAAAATTCACACATTTAACTAGTCTTAGATATTGTTTGATATGCAACTCCAAGAAACAATGGTACCTCTCAGAGTACACAGAGAAAAACCCCTGAGCTCCGAATATTGTCGCTTAGATTTAAATATTTATACCATTATATTTGCATGTGCCTCGAGCGTGGAAATATTTAAAAGGATGTGTTTTCATTTATATTTTGCGATTAATATGAAAATATTTGATCTAAATATACATATTTCATATTTAAATTAAACAATTTCTTATTTAAATTAAATATATTTCTTATTTAAATGAAATATATTTCTTAACAATTTTTAAATGCTAATTTTTCAGCTATTTATATTTTGATTTAATATTGGACGTAATTTTTTTTCATTTTTTTTTTTATAATTACGATTGTATTTTGTATTTTTAATTATAAAAAAATATATCTGATACAAATTATATATGTGGTTTGCTGTTACTGTTAGAGAAACTTATAAAACAGGCACAGAAAAATTACGATGTTTTAAAAATATTAAACATAAAAAAATATATATAAAAAAACATTTAAAAAATAACGCTAAAAACAAAAAATGATAAAAATTGTTTTAATTTATATTTATATCTTTTTTATATTATTATTATTTATTATTATCTTTGTTTATTTTATATCTTACACATATATCATTATTTTATTTTTTATAATTATTTAATTTTTTACTCTTATTTTTTTATATATTCTTCATAGAAATTATTTAAAAATCTAATATTTTATTGTAATATCAGTGTGTTTCTGTTTAATAATCTATTTTCCCTCAATGCCTATCAATAAGTCAGTAATGCAATAAGGTCACGCTTATAAAAATTAGCCGATCTTATAGAAAATTGATTCATTTATCGAACGAAACTATTCTTCTCTTGAAAATCGCGATGGAATGGTTTTTGCTGTGCCAACACTTGCGTCCGGCACCGTATGTATCCACGAGAAAAAGAAGGAAGTTGGGAAATATTTCATGGTTCTGTTGCTGTTGAGAATTGTAATTTCCACGCTAAGATTATTCGATCCAAAACTCGATCATGAACTCTCCATCAGGCCATATAGGAGCTCCCACCAATACCACCCATAGAACCAATGTCCTGCACAGACTATCCCTTGATGAGAGCTCTACTTAGAACGGAAGGATTAGCTTTATTGTTTGGGGCAATTTAGACCAATGATAACATCTTTCCGGTTTTTTATGCCTAATCCGATTTTTTCCTGCATCCACCGGAGCAATTGCAGCCGAAGACGTTGCACCCGCCGACACCGCAATAGGCCCCCACCACCATTTGGCCGTCCCCGCAGATGGGCAAGGCCGGACAGCACACGGCCGCAGCTTCCTCAAGGAGGAACAGGCCAAGGGCCAGTAGCACGTAGGTCAAATTCATGGCTTGACTGGTTGGGCGGCTGGTCGGACGACTATTGTGGCCGACTCGAGTCCGTTCGGTCCCACCAATCCCTCTGGAAGAGATCCAATTTGCCATGCCTTCAGCAGAGTGTGGGCCATGAAATTTTAATTCTGTACATAACATTAGATATCTCCGCTCCGAAACGGCCGTACGTGGTTCACGGCTAATCCCAATCACATATATTACCATAAAAAACAGGGAAATGTAATAACAAACTGCTGAATAAAATGGACTGTAGGGGCGATTAGTCTTCAGAGGTATATTGAGCACTTGAAGTTATATTTTCCACGTCAGGTTCTTCAGTAGGCTCCGTGGTTTCGTAGCCCGGACACTGGTACATTTTGTTCAGTTTGCGAAGATCTGTTTTGCTCATTCCCCGGCGCTGACCCATTTTGGAGGCCCCCTTCTTGAGGGCCACAATCGTCGGCTTCGATGCGTCTTTGGCGAAGGCATTTTCCATGTAGTGCATCACGCTGCCGTAGTCGTAGGTCTCGCCGTAGTTGTTCCAGCCGATCTCGGTCTCGTTGTTCCAGAAGTTGATTTCATGGTCCGGATGTATGTTTTCCCACATGATCTGCACGTATTCGTCGCGGTCCTGGGCCACGTGCTGGTGCTCGAAGCCCAGCACATGCAGGAGCTCGTGCTTGAGGGAGCCCATGCGAAAGCAGCCCGAGTCCAAAGAATCCAGCTGCAGATTCACCTTTATCCGATCGTTTCTCCAGCCGATTATCTCGCAATAGCAGCCGGTATCGTGCGATGTTATATTGACAAAATATTTGTCATCCCTGGAGGCTTTCTTGAATTTCACGCAGGATCCGTTCTCTATGATGCGCATTGCCCGCTCCACATACTGCAGGTGGGGTTTGTCTACGCAGAAAGCATTATATATCATTACTGAGACATCCTGTTGGCTTACCAAATGTTCCCTCTTCGATAAAGTACAGGACAGTGCGGTTTGGCCAGTGATAGCTTTCGTTTGTTATCACATTTCTCCACCAGTTCGTTTTTCCGGGTCTCCTCAAGATGTCGCCCTGGAAACGACTCGGCAGGAGTTCGGGATCTGCTCGCCAGTTCCCTAGGTAGAAGCTCCAAGAGATTTTGGCCAGCAGCAAAGTCAGCGCCAGGGCGAACGTGTTCATCTCGGGGCCAAAACTCAAACTGTAGCGAAAGCCACTTCCACACTTGACACTCGCCCTTCATTACTTTATTCGTCATGCTCATGCGTCTTACACCTTTCCATGCATGCTCCATGCACATTTCCCCGATTTCAATTGGGGTTCAACTGCAGGGCTCTAATAGCAGACCGACAGCGACTGCAGGCCGCCATGCCCACTTGCTACTCGTTGTTTCTTCAACGAGTAGTTCCTCTCTCTCCTCTCTCGTTTGCTATGACACAGTCGTAGATTGGCAGAGGCTTAGACAGAGGCACACTTAAGCCGGTTTCACTGTGTTTTTATGTCCTTGGGACATGCTTACATAAAACATGGATCCACTGGTACACGCCAGAGACCAAGGAACACTCGAAACAGTGGTCTTTAACCGGCGAACGTGCTCCGCAGAAGACGAAGACAGAAGAGGTGATGGCCACCATTCTACATCGACTACCTGGAGAAGGGGCATTATTGGTCCGATTCGCCATTTGGCGCAGAAAAAAGTGCTCTACCACCATGACAACACACTGGCTCACACCTCCGCTATCGCCACGGCCAAATAGGTCGAATTGCACTACGAACTGCTGCCTCATCCACCGTTTTCTCCAGATTTGGCCCAGTGCGACCTTCTTTTAGTTCCAAACTTGAAAAAATCACTCGTCCAATGAAGAGGCCTACTTTTTTTTAATGTTAGTAAGGTCTTGAATAAATGTTGTCTGCCATCGACAAGGAGGAGTCTTACGATGCATAAACCGGGAACCTGGAAAATCGTACGATTTACCCTTCCCTTTGGATATCATATCTACTAACCAGATCTAGACTTGCACTGGGAGATCAGGAACTTCCCGTTGACATACGAGTATTATTTATCAGATCTTTAATTTCTCTCAAAGAGGAGCCTGCTTTGACTCCTGCTTAGACCTGTCTGGGGCACTTGTACATGACATTTAGTTTGTTGATATCCGACTGGGACATTTGCAGACGCTGTCCCATCACCTCCTCGGCGCCCTCCTGCAGGGGTACGATGGTCATCTCTCCGTTCTTGGAGAAGGCATAGGCCGTGTAGTGCAGGACACTGGCGTAGTCGTACGGCTCGCCGTAGTCCTCGATGGTGTCGCTGTCGTACTTGTTGAAGTTGTTCTCCGTGCCCTCGATAATGTTCTCTTCGGCGATGCGCACGTAGTCGTCGCGATCCCAAGTGCTCTGCTGGTGGTAGAAGCCCAGGGCGTGCAGGAACTCGTGCACGATGGTGCCGAGCCGGAAGCAGCCCGTGTCCAGGGCATAGTTTTGCAGATTCAGCTGCTGGACCCGGTTCCGATGGCCCACGTACGAGTAGCAGCCACCCGCCTCGGAGGTGACGTTCACGTAGTATTCCTGGTCGGTGGTGGCCTCCTTGAACACCAGGCAGGAGTTCAGCTCGAGGATCCGAATGCCGCGCAGTATGTGGTTCCGATGATCGGTATCTAATTTGGAGATTCGAATTTCTGTTCAGTATTCTGCTAGTACACCCCTCTGGGAGGCCTCACCGATATCCCTATTGATGTAGTAGTAGACGATGCGATCTGGCCAGCGGTACGTCTCGTTGCGCAGTCCGTTCCGGGCCCCAGGACTGGGTACCATGTCCCCCTCCAGGTAGCCTGCGCTTAGCTCGGGATCGGTTTCCGTTCGCTCCCTGGGCGCCGGGGCAGCCATGCAGCTGCCGGCCAGGAGCAGCAGAAAAGCTAGAGCCAGACCCTTCATATTGCTGGCTTGACGAGTGCCACGAAACTATTGCCGCTGGCCCCCGACAAGGCTTCGAAGTAGTCTTTATGGGTAATGGCTAATTTATGGTGTGGTGTTCGCCGACATAAAGTTTTTACAGCCCGAAGTGACCGCTAAGAGCTATCTAATCGTTGGATGTGGACCGCAAAATATGGGCTTAGATACGCAATCTTCCAGGTATTTAAGGTATTTCCATTTCACTAGTTGTTGTTTTCTGTGGGTCGTTAGTCCTCGATTTCTGCAGATACATAAAAGATTTTATGGGTTTTTTTTCGGGGTTTGAGGCATACTTTTAGGTAGGCTTTATTTATGCTTCTAATGGATTGGGATAATACCAAAAACTAGCGATAAATATAGGAGAATGATTGATGTAGAAATAAGTATTAAAGACCATAGATATATAAGAGATATTTTGGGGTATAGGATATGGCAGAGGGGACTATAATGAAGGCTAAGCGGCGAGGCCGAAAAGTACGGGGGGGTCTAGAGGGTACCGCAAAGTACATCCGCCCCAAAAGAGTTTAGGGAGTCCATAATCCCGAGAGGTGATGCCCCATAACATATCCCGAGATGGTGCCATGAGACAGATCTATAAGGGAAGGTTCTAGCAGTGTCCCAGTCCCTTTGCCGAACCAAGAACTATCCAAGAACATCGAGTCTTCTTCGGAATGCCTAAAGGCCATAAGAGCTTTCTAACACACAGAAGGAGGCCTCCTGCTTCCCACCAAAAATTACCATAGAGTAGAATCGCTTAAGCCCGTTCCAGTCTGCTCCTGGGATCCATCCATCTTCTCGGAGGTGCTGCCTTAATATCGCTTTCATTCAGGCCGAAAATTACATCCCCACCCCCTTTGCACCCCTGCCAGCCCCCCACCCCAATCACAATCGTTTACTGAGCTCCATTTTCGCGCCTAAGGCTTGACAGCGACGTTCAGACACTTAATTGAATTTGTCAACACAATAAACAGATTGCAATTCCGTGCGGGAGGAGACGTACATTTATCATCGTTAGCGGAATATGAAAGGCAACCAGCCTCCGCCCCAATCCCGGCCTCGGCTCCATCTCATTTGGGACACCTGTACATGGCGTTCAGCTTATCGATGTCCGTCTGGCTCAGCTGCAGGCGCTGGCCTATGACCTCTTGCATGCCCTCCTGCAGCGGCACTATGGTGCTCTCGTTGTTCTTGGAGAAGGCCAGAGGGCCGTAGTGCATGACGCTGCCGTAGTCGTACTCCGCGTCGAAGTCGTTGACCATCTCCGCGCTGTACTTGTCGAAGTTGAACTCCATGCCCTCGGTGATGTTCTCCTCGACGATCCGCACGTACTCGTCCCGGTTGGCGGCGCTCTGCTGGTGGAAGAAGCCCAGGGCGTGCAGGAACTCGTGCACGATGGTGTAGAGCCGGAAGCAGCCGGTGCCCACTTCGTAGGGCTGCAGATTCAGCTGCTGGACGCGATCGAGGTGGCCAATGTACGAGTAGCAGCCGCCCTCTTCCGACGTCACGTTCACGTAGTACTTCTGATCGGTGCTGGCCTCACGGAAGGTGAGGCACGAGACGGACTCGATCTTCTGTATGGCCCTCACAATCTGGTTCCGGTGCTCTTGATCTGTGCGGGGATCGCTTTAGTTAGCCATGGTATCTCGTAGGACCTTCTGCATCTTACCAATGTAGCTATTGATGTGGTAGTAGACAATGCGATTGGGCCAGCGGTAGGTTTCATTGCGCCAAATGTTCCTCTGCGCCCCGTCTGGCACCATATCCCCCTCAATGTAGCCGCCCGTCAGCTCGGGATCTGTCTCCAGGCGCTCTACGGATGCCCCCCGAATGCTCCTGGACAGCAACAGCACCAGGGAAAGTATTAGTGGGCCGTGCATGTCTTCTACTAAACTTCCAAATCTACTACTGGCCTGACAGCCTTCCGCAAAGGTCTTCGACAAGGGCTTAATCTATATGGCATTTATGACGGCGCGACCAAAGGTGACTGCAAGGTGGGTATCTAATCGCTAGGTTTATCGAATACACGTGGGCGGGCAGCTCCAATTATTGCTCTTATCTGGTGACTTACGAATGGTGCTACTTGTTCGGAGGCATGACTGATAAGGCAAGCCAGGAGTAGCATATACCCTTCTGCCCTTTGAGGAGGGGAGTTTGGAGAGAAAGTTTCGACGAAAGCAATCTTTGGCAAGATATAAATGGTTATATTTGTGGTTTATTCAGATATATGATGGTATGTATGGAGATATTTGGAGATACTGTCCTACTATCCTCTCTACTTTCTGTCTGTCCTGCTTCTATGAAAGCCTCTTCTTTTGAGAAGCAGATACCTGTCCAAACATAAACACATTAATGTACACCCCATCTCTAAGTTTAATAGATAAAAGTCCCTTAACTAGACAATTTAAACCCCGCTCGGGTGTGAGCGTAGATCTCTACACCCGGCGGCAAAACACAACTGGATAGACCCTAATCCAATATAGTCTCAAAGTAACACGATTGTGCCACCTCTTTCCATGGTTTTAGCGATCATATTAGAGCAAGATTTCAAGAATAAAATTTAGTTCCAATTTACAACCAAACTCAACTCAAGTGTCCAGACTTTTCTTTAAAGAAATTTCCATGCCATTTGTCAGAATCAATCAAAGTCCTAGAGGTCTAGAGTGAACCCATGGGATCGCGATGGCCTCCACGTGGTGTGCCCTGGGTATCAATTGAAATCGAGAGGCGTTTATTCTGCAATATTCTGCCTCAAATATGGAGCTTCCTTCGCAACGAAACGCAAGCGAGAAAGATCTATGGGTCGTGGAACTGCTAGAAGCTTATCGGTCTTTCACACATGACTCGGAATTCCGCAGGGGTTCAGGTACAGGGGTTTAGGTGCCCCACGAAATCTTGGAGTTCCCCAGTCAATGGCCCGCGAGTCTTTTGGCCCCTAAATGAAATTAAATAAAAAGTCGTGCTGCGGTTATCTGTACCCTATTACCTCACTCCATTCCCAATCCCTATAAAAACCCAGATATTGGAAAGTCAGGCGCCAGTTCGAAAATGCTTGTGACTTTGGGATTGCTTCTCGCTATTGGCCTCCAAGGAGTCCATGCCCGTCCTGCGAGCACATTCGAGGAGGATGACATGCGACTCACCGCAGAGCAGATCCAGTATCTGAATGGAGGCGCTCGCATAGCTCTCTCCTGGTCGGGATACTACTGGCAGGGTGGCTCCCTCGTCTACAGCTTCGGTGAAGGCCTGTGTATGTATCCCAGCGTGCTTCCTGACACATCCTGTAGGACTCCTTGCTTTGCAGCCCCCCGGGACACCGATCTAATCGAAAAGGCCATGGCGACGATAGCCTCCCAAACCTGTGTGCGATTTCGCAGGACTCGGAATGCCCAGGAGCCGCAGGTGGTCATACAGCGGAAGGAGGCCGGCTGCTGGTCGTACGTGGGCTTCCTGGGCAGGCAGCAGCAGCTCCTCAACCTCGGCGAGCGGTGCATGACCAGCGGCACGATTCAGCACGAGATACTCCACGCCCTGGGGCTGTTCCACACGCACTGCGACCCGCGGCGCGATCAGTACGTGAAGATCCACCCGGAGAACCTCAAGCCCGGCTACGAGCACAACTTCCGACTGCTCGGGATCGGCCAGGACCCACAAATGACAGACTTTGGCCTGGGCTACGACTACGAAAGCCTCATGCATTACGGGGAGTACGCATTCTCCAGGAACGGCCTGCCGACGATAGTGCCGCTTCGGAGGGGCGTGCGGATTGGCCAGGCCAAGGGCCTGAGCGCAAAGGATGTGCGGAAGCTAAACCGCATGTACTGCAGAGGAAACTAAGGGCAACCGCATCCCTTCTCCAAGTAATCGCCACATTTGCAATTCCAACGAGTTGTGGCACTTGACAGGAAACAAGAATCTCCTCCTCCCCGGCCTCCTGCGGGCGCCGTTAATCCACAAAACAAAAAGAGCTCTAGCCGTGCTAGAGGAAGTGTTTGCCTTTGCCTTTACCTTTGCCAGCAACTAAAAATTGAATATTTAGTGGTCGTAATTAAAAATTAGCGCGCTGGGCAACTAACCAACAAGCCAGCCAGCCAGCCAGCCAGCCAGCTACCAGCCAGTCGAGAGCTTCCTCAGCCATGGCTCGTAATCCCAGGACCAACTATCTGCCACACAAGGACCCGCATGTAGTCGTACATATATTTGGTTTTTTAATGGCACAGAGCCCCACCCGGCCAGAGCTGGGGGCTACCTGCAAACACCGAACGGAAGTCGTAAACATTTAATTTATGCAAGCAATGCATTTAGTTTTTTAGCTGCATCTAAAGATGGGCTAATATCGTCTGCCAGGGAGGGCCAGGGACGGCCAGGGAGCGGTTCCTGGGGCCTGCAGCGACATCCACCTTATCTGAGCGGCTTGTGGCAAGTAGGACTGCATTAGCGGCCGCGCTCGGGGACATTAAGCGGGCCCTGATCGAATATCTGCTTAAAGAAAGTGAATGGAAAGTGCGAAAGGGCTTTATGGGGAATAGCTTCTGTTTTGGGGTCTCTCCTTAGGCTATTCCCTAGTAAAATAGAACGTTTTTTGCTTGATCTTGTGATCTTTAGAGGAGTCTTTGATGTGGTATATATGTATATCTGCCCCCCCTGAAATGCTTTGGGAGCCTTTGTCCCTGCCCATCCTTTCCCGCTTCGGCACTCAACTCAATTAAAGCTTTGGCCCAGCTTCCCGGCAGCCCAGCGCGATTATCACTCTTTCCAGCGAGACTGTCTTGGGGATTTCTTTGGTTTTTATTTTATGAAAATATTGCTGGAATAATAAAGAGGATTTAATGGGTTAAGGCGGGCACTAGGACGCCTGGCCATCAACTTTTCGCCAAGAGCAGTAAAAAAGTCAGCTGCCTCGGCTAGCTTTTCTTTTCGTTTCCTTTCCTTGGTCCTTTCTTTGGTGCCTTGGCCTGTCTCCCCGCCCCCCGCCCCTGCTTATGATCGTTCTAATTTTATGACATTCTGTTTTCATGCATAGAAGAGCAGACGCATGTGTGTGTGTGTGGTGGGGGGGGGAGGCGGGGTCTGGGCGAGTGCAGCCATAGCCATTTCATAGTCAGACATGAATGCTGCGCTTTGTTGCCCTGCTACGCCTTTGTTTGTATTGCCCTCAGGGGTAAAGTTTTTAGGATAATAACTTCCTGCGACTTTACGAGCCAAGGCAAAAGCCGAATTCCCACCAGCAGCAACAACAACAACAACAACAGGAATATGAGAATACTTAAGCAGGAGTACACTGCAACGAAGCAAGCTGGCTTGAATAAATACATACATATATTCCCAAATAAAGCTAATATATTATATAAATAAAATAATAAATAAAATATAGAACAGATAAAATCTAAATAAAAATAATATATAAATATATCAAATTAAAATATACAGATAAAACCGAAAGTGAATACATTTTATACACTGCTGCTAATCACTTTTACAGCAATAAAACAAACTAAGAATTTAATTTCAAATATTTAAAAAATATTTACTCACCGAAAGCATTGAACTTAATTTTTTTTAGTTTGAAGATAAGTATATATAGAGAAACCATCTAAAAAAAAAACAAAGAATATCAATGGTTAATATTTGCATATAAAAATATTAATATTAATAATTAATTCATTATTAATTAATTAATGGTTTATATTGCATATAGAAATATTAATATTAATAATTAATTAATTAATATTATATATGTAATTGTAATTTTATATATTTATATATTATATTGCGAATTATAAATATATTTTAGCTTTATATATTTTTTTTCTTTATTATTATTATTTTATATTATTATTTTATTATTATTATATTATTATTATATTATATATCGCGAATCTACTGCGATGAATCTACATGAGTGTCCACATTTCACTGTCCGCCACTGTATATCTTGAAGTACATGTGTATATATAAATATATGCTCATTGGGCAGCAATGTACAGTACATATATGTGTATACATATGTGTCGGTGATGCAGAAATAATGTTGCTATTTATCTATGAAATAGGCAAACGATATTCAATAAACATTATCTGGAACGAAAGCTGCTTCGATACATGTTGCTTAGTGTTGGTGTTGTTGTGGAATAGAAGAAGGAGAGATGGTTGAAAAGGAAAGATAAGTGAGAGCGAGAAGATCACATGTGAAGAGCGGAATTAAGTCTGAATTGGATTATTTGGATGCAGAAAGATGTCCTGCGAAACGCTTGCGACTTGCGGTGCTATATCGGACATTTATGGATAAACTGGTTGAGGAAAATCAAGCCGCTCAAACGCTAACCAGGCTTCGACATATGCATATTATCAAAATACAGTTAAACTTTTATATAGCGAATCTGGAGGGTAATTAATTATACGGTTAATTCGTAATATAAAATAAATAAAGTCTTTATATAGAAAACTTTAGTACACGGAAGTTCGTAATAGAGAAGTTCGACTGTTTTTGATCTTGAAACTTCCTTGTTTATCGTTCTATGTATATTTAAATCTATGTTTAGAATTACCCTTCTTATCTACAATTTAGTCTAGTGTTTTCTGTCAGTGTGTGGCAGAAGAAGCACTGCATACGAACGGCGTGGCGAAGGCAAGCCCTGAAAAATATCTCAAGACCTCCACTTAAAGCAGCCAGCGAGTAAAAGCAAAAGCAAATGCCAACACATCAGCGATTCGGGGAGACGGGGAGTGAGGCAGGGCAGGGCAGGGACACAGCCACAGCCACAGAAACTTTTGACGTTGTCGACAGGGGGGAGGGGTGGCAAGGCGATGGCATGGGACATGCCACAGGATGAGGGCTGCGGTGCCATATTAAAGACAGACAGCTGTAGCAGAAGAAGCACCGCCATGACTGTGGGCATAATCTCAGACATAATTACACACACAACTCACGGCACGGCACGGCACGGCCCGGCTCAGACCGGGCCAAGAGACAGCGACAGGAGCCACAGCCAGGCACTGACAAATGCAGTCACACATGAATGAGCTCTCTTCCAGGTATTTCTTCCTTAGCGCCTTTTTTGGTCTAGTCCATTTTCACTTTTTGCGGACAGGGCGAAAGTTGGCTTAAAGCCGTGGCCCAGTCCTGCCCGTGGGAGGAGACTTTTAAAGTGCATTTAAAATTAATTAGGCGTGCCCCGTCGAGTATGTGGCATGACACGAAACGAATAAAGGAAGTGCTCCTCCTTTATCTGTCAATTAACAAGTTTCTTTCTTTTTGTGTAATTGATTTAGCACCAAAACCCCTGCCCCGCCCCCGCCCCCCCGTCGAGGCATTCAAATCAAAGTTGAACCAAGTTAAAGTTCTCGGGGTGTGAAAAGCTCTCGTCCAGCCCATTCCACCCCGTTCCATTCCATGCCATTCCCCTTGTGTTGCTTCATACGCGGCTTCAAAAGTTTAGACACAATATCGCTAATGATAATTACAAGCTAAAAACTTTTCCTACATTCGCTACATTCCCCCCTTAGCCCCCCCTCTCCTCACATCCCTTCCGTTTGTGCATTTGCTTTTAGCTTCAGTTGGCAACACGAGCATAAATATATAAAATTTTTCAGCGGTTAGCTCGAAAGTTCAGCAAAGCCCGAGGGACCGATAAGGGCAGATCCTGCGAGTGCAGGGCAGACGCTGTGTCTGTCGGTTCTAATTAAGCACTACAGTATCATAAAGAGCTGCCAGTCAGTGCGTATTAACATATCAGAAGCCCCAGTCGAGCTGTAACTGGAGCCACAGTCTCCAAATCGGTCCAAAATCGTGCGAGATCCGAAGACGGGTATCGGTTTTAATGGTAAAGTATACCAAGTGCCAGCTAAATACTAGCTTAGTAGTACATAGTATTTTTTTACATAAGCATGTATAGAAAATTTTAGTTTTTTATATTGCAAATTTTGGTGGTATTTTTGAACGAAATTTGGACTTTGAAAACTCGCTAAAAGTACAAATAGATTTTTCCCTGGGAGTTTTGTATATTTTTGATAGAGGTACATAATGTCCGAGTCTTTTGAGGTATTGCTGTTAAAAATCTATGGATAAAATTTTAAGTTGCAGCCGTTTGACCAAATCTAAAATTTCCGCTTTTTATACCTAAAAATACTGCTCAATAATATGCTGGTCCATACAAAAAAATACAAAAAAAAAATAGCCCAAAATCTTAAAAAAAAAATGTTTGTTGAGTAGTGTTATTAAAGAATTTATAATAATTATATTTATCATTATTATTTTCTTTAATATTATTATTTATTTCTTTTTAATATTATTATTTATTTATTTTTATTATTATTATTTATGTATTTTTATTATTATTTATTTATTATTATTATATAAAGCCAAAAATTAGTTAAAACAAAGTTAAAGGTATTAACAAAGTATGAGGCTATAGGTATTGAGGGCCTTAAAATGAGTCTAGTGGCTTAAACCACAGCCAAATCCCTACTTTGAAATACTATACTCTACTATATGCCATATACCATATACCAATACTATAATACCCCACAAACCCCCATAACTGGCCTAAAAACCCCACATATATTTACTGCTTTAATCATTCAAATTAGTTCCTCCACACACGGGTTCGGTTTTGCTCAGATCCGTGCCTCAAATGCTGGCCTTAGATGGCCCTTTGGCTCACATCCAGTCAGGGGTATATAAGAACTCATTAGCCATTGCCAATGACTCGGTGGGAACAACAAGCCGCTAATGAAGTACAAATTGGCTAATGGGGCGGCTCGCAGCCCCACCGTCGGAGTCGGAGTCTAATTATCAATGAGCGCGAGGCGAGGCGAGGCGACGCCTGTCGAAGTTCGACTTCCTGCTCCGATGGAGTTATGGCAATGCGATAGAGAGGAAGAGGGAGAGGGAGAGAGAGATGCACAGTGTTTTTATGCGAAAAGTTTTGTGCATTTTCATGGCGGAACTTTAATGGATTAATTTACCAAAAATGTTCCTGCCAAAAGGAAAT